ATGAATATCCGCTTTTGTATTACCTACTCGATAATAATTTATTCGTTAATGCACTGGGGCTTAGATTAAGGGGTCTGAGCGTGACCTGTTTTTTGCTCAAAAACATGACTTACAGGAAAAACTCTCATGCCTCGTAGATATTTGACTTGGATTTTCAAAATTATTTTTATAAATGTTATATTATACAAGTTTGAATTTAATCCATTTTTACAACTTTTTAGTTTTTGTTTTTAGCAACGTAATCAAAAATCGAAGTCCAATACGCCCTGTAAAATATCTTCCTCTATCTGACAAAAAAAAAAAATTATGGAAATCGAACCAATCTACGAGGTGTGTGAGATTTTCCTGTAAAGTGTGTTTTGGTCGATATAATACACCCTATCAATCCCTCCCCTAAATAGGTATTATTGGATAGGTATTATAGATTAGTGGAAAAGTATTATAATTGAGGTGGTAACTAAAATATAAAATTTAATTTTCAAATTTTATAGAATTGCAGAAAATTTGAAAAATTTCAACCAGGACCCTTAATATTTACATTAGGTAATGTTCTATACTTTATACTTGAGTATAAATGTGTCATTAATAAGTTTACACAAGTTTAGAAACTGACTGAAGTTAGACTTGATAATATAAATCAATAATTTTCTTGTAGGTATTAACTCGTATTTAATATGTTATTGACGTGTAAACGCGTCTTAATATTTAAATACTGTGCATAAAATATTACACTGCAGTTGTTGACATAAAATCAGGGTTGAGAAAATAATGTACTTAAGTGCTCTACTATTAATATATTAGGTGCCAATAGGTATTTTTAAACATATTTGGAAAAACAAATAGAAGGCATTAAAATAACATCCTTTTCATTTTCATTTCTCTATAAATTGTACCTATACCTATTCGTTTAGGTTGGGAATTTGAAAATTGAAGTTATACCAATATTAAATAAGTTATTTTTTTATTTATATATTTCGTATAGCTTAAATAAGTGATAAATAGTTAGTTCAAAGACAGTTCAATATTTGTAATATATTATGCAACAACTAACAGCAATACAGCATTGGAAATTCCAATTAAATACATTTTGGATTATAGTACCTACCATAAATTATTGTTATGAATTTTAAATCAATACCGATACTTATCATAGAATGGTGATGAATAGGTTCATACTTAAATTACATTGAAATTAGTCTAAATATTTAAGAAATAATAATATACGTAGGTACCTACCTAACATTTTCAAGTCTATAATTTATTTTTTTTTTGATTTACAACAAAATATCTAAAACTATAATAGAAAAAAAAAGATAATTATGTCCAATTTTGTCAAAATGTAACTCGAAATGGTAATTAAAAAAATGTGCAAGTACCTACGTTTTTATTTTTGATACTTTTCAATTGCTGTACTTTATGAGGGAACTCATGAAATTCTTAAGTCAGGTCTAAAATTAAAACTACAAAATATACAATAATTATAATAAGCCATATGGGTACCTACTTATTACTTACTACACCTATATATTAAAATACATATGTTTAATTTTCTATCTTGTTAAGTTACAATAATTACAAATATATAATACGCATTATTCATAATTTTCTTGATGTATGTAATTAGTAATAAGTAATAACTGATTTATTTAAGTTTTTACTTTAAATTAAACGTAAGTATAAAACAAATACTTAATATATTATTTCTCGGTATTTTCAATGAGGTTTTTCAGATTTTACCTAACTGGATTAAGTAGAATAATTAATAATACATACGTCATACCTACATGATATACTTTTTGCGCTTTGACTCCTCTGAGTACCTACAAAGAAGATAAAATTGACTTCCAGAAAGCACCCTTAACATTGAATATTAAATCATTGTACTTATCTGCCACAAAAAAGAATCATCAGATACAACATTGTTGTATGCCTTTCATGTATCAATAAAATAATTTTGTATAATAATAATATTATAAAATGTAATGTAGGTATTTCAGAAACGCCAATAACCTTAGCCGTTGAGGTGTATTTATAAATAATTATAAAAAAAAAGACACAGCATTAAATACAAATATAAACCAAACAAGATTGCGTGTAGGAATACACTTTCCGCTCAGGTCAGACTCTAAAATACAATTTTAAACTCTCATTAAAACATTTTTTCTGTCTGTATTTATTATTTACATTGTTAGCATAATTTATTCACATTAAACTTTTCTTTTAAAATTTGTATTGGAGTTTAATTTATTGAGTAGCGAATACTTATACTATATAATATAAAATATAACAAATTAAATATTAATAATATATATTAGTGTATGAACTCAATGGGACTGTAAAGGAATATATATAATATAGTACCTATATTTTTCTGTTAAAGTATTCAATAAAGCTTTTAATTGATTGCATCATCTAAGATGTCAATGAAGTAAGTGGTTTTTTATTCTTAACTAAATATTATATAGGTAGTGATCCTTTGAACCCACAAGGCCTTACAAGTAAACTAATCTTTTAAAAATGTTTTTTGTTTCAAAAAATGTAAATATTATATAATATTATTACACTATGTTCCAAAAAATAGTGATCAGAAAAAAAGTTATTGGGGACGAACTTGAAGGAACTTGTGTTAAAAATAATAGAACATCAATAAAATAATTAATTAAAGTGTATTTAAGTATTTAATTTCAAGTAAATATGTGTTATGAAATCAGTTAGGTATGTTATATTATATTATTTAGTATGATGTACAAACAATGTTTTTCTCAATATATCAAAACGTTTCTATCTATCTATCTAAATGTTCGATTTCCATTTAAACAAAATATAAAAATGTATCATACCTAATACATTTTTTTTTTATAATATAACTATAATGGTTATTTTAAAGGTTTAAAGATTTAGTTTGTTTTAATTTTGCCTGTACTTAGACTTAGGCGTTAAGTTGCTTCAAACTTGTTTCATTGATTTTGAAAACACAATATTTCACATTTCTGAAGTAAATTCTTTATGAAAACACCTGTGTAGTCATAATATTATGATATTTGTTTATTCAATACAAATAATTACTAAGTATGTACATGTTTTTTTATTTGTACCTAACAATATTGTATTTGTTTTTAATTAATATTATCTACTTTTTATCAGATATATTTAAAATACATTTTAGATAGTTTATTTTAACGATTTTGTTAGTACCTTATCTAAATACAAACAAGACTATTATAAATAGTATATTATATTCATAACTTTTTAAAGAATTAAGCCATATAAAAAATGGTAGAAGAGCAATGTCTTCTTTTTATATTTGAGTTTTTATCAAATGTAATACAATAACTAGTGTTATAATATATGATGGAGTTGTACACTTAATTTCTGAGGGTTATAGTGTACTATTATACGGTTCTAGTTTTCTCGAGAGGCGGATTAATATTAAAGTTAGTATGATTTATAAACATAATACAGTTTGAAAATATAAATCAATGTATTATTAACGAAATGTGTTCCGCTGAAACAATGTTTTTTGCAATATTGAACCCAAACAATTTAAGTGGAGTTTCCTAAACTGATCACTCACTTCAGTAAGAAAATGATAAAACAGTCAGGATAAAACCATTCAGGTACCTATACATTTTACATAGGTACCCAATATTGATTTATAATATATACAAAAATTACACCCTAAATGACTATACGTTATACCTATATTAAGCCAAAGCAACTCAGTATTTAATCAGTATACTTGTATGCACAATATTATCTTTACTCTCTTACAAAATACAGTTTTAATATATTTTGTATAATGTAATTTATCTGTATGTATATATTATTATATAAGATATCTACTTAAAATATAATATCCCTTCATTGTTTTGTGCACTAACAAGTTATGGTGCAGTCAAAAAGTTACAAAGCAATATAAGTACGTAGGATAATACTATACGGAACATCTGTATAATATATACTAAACTTTCAAAGATTTTAACTTCACCCCACAGTTTTGAGGCTAAATAATCAAAACGTATATAATTTAAGTGAGAACGACAGACTAAATTACTTTATAAAGAACATTATTTTAATTTTGCTTACATCAATGTCAAACGGAACACATATTTACAGAAAGTCACCCAGACTTAAAATGGACTAATTGGTACACACATATAAACATACATTTAGAAACTATTTGAAGTTTGCAATAACAATTAATGCACAGTCTGAATTATCATCATGTATATACTTAATATTAATAGTATAATGATCGTATGCAATATCACATAATTTATATAGATTCATCGAGATGCATGTTTTTGATTTACTCAAAAAATCTAATAATTAATAGGTATAAATTAAGGTTCCTCGCTACGGTCATTATTTAAGGGGAAACATTTAGGACAATTGTAATCTTGTCCGTAACGTTAAACTAGATTATTTAATATTCGCGGCCGTGCCGCTACGCACGGTGATAGACTGATTTTTGATTTTCGCCGAGCCGCTACGCACTGTGATGGCCGATATTACGGTCGAGGGGCTTCGGTCCACCGGCTACCCGGTCGAGCTATAATAGTTACCGTACGTTCCGTAACAGCCGGTTGGCGGGATCACCGTGTGTGAAAATCGGATTTATTTTTTTCACGGTTATTCAGCGGTGCCGGCGCAGTGTACTCGACGGCAGCCCCGGCGACGCCCTCCGACACGATTTCGTATTCAACTTTTCGATTGTGGTTTTTTCGTTTGCTATAACGCGGTAACGGTTGGGCTTATCACGACGACCACGAGATGTAATCACGTCGTACGTTCCAAGTTCTATCAGGTACCGGCGTCCGTAACGTTTAACTAGATTATTTAATATTCGCGGCCGTGCCGCTACGCACGGTGATAGCGATATTCGTGCGGCTCGGGTGTACCACTACGCATACCCCGTCGCATATTGTGAAACTCGAGATTTTGTAAATTTGTGAGCGGCTTGGTCGTCGGCGTTGAAGCCGGCGTCCGACGGCCACTCGCTACGACAGCAACGCCACGGGCGACGCCGAAGCCGACGAGTCCATCGCCACGTACCGGTCTCTGCCAGTCTTCGGAATGGTCAGCAACCCGAGTGCTCGTCGACGAGATCCGTCCAAGTTTCGGCAACCGACCCATCCCGAGTGGCAAAACTCAACCGGCGTCGCAGGTCCTCCTTCCGGTGGGCCTCCGACGCGCAAATCATTTTCTTTTGAAAAATTTATGACGACTCCCGTTACCGTTTCGCAAGTTACGAGCTCTCGACGCCAGAACATTCCCGCCGCGGCCGGCCATTGTCGCCGTGCCCGGCGGCCGCCGGGTCGAAGCCCCGGGACGACGGACTTCGCGTCTCGTTCAGTCTTCACCCACGATCTCGGCTGGGGGCCGTTATAAACCTGGCGAGAGGCGCTAGCGCGGTAATTCTCCATCCGCTCAAAACGGACGGCGTACGCGCTAACCGACACTCGTCAACGTACGGGTCACGTCGCGTCGGGCGCTCTCCCCACCGCGTGTTCGGTCCACCGCACGCGATCGCCGAAACAGCCGCGCTGTCTTCTGCGGATCTGGTGCTCGGCGCTCGCGTCGACCGAAGCTCGCGCGGGTCACGGGCAGTGTTGGGAATAGATAACTAAAAAAATATTTAGATAAAAATAAAGGAAACATAAATGTAATTTATCTAGATAAAGATAAATACAACAATACATTTATCTAGATAAATTTCTAGATAAATATCATTTTTTTTATTGTTTTTTTGTATTTTTGTAATATTAGATCGATATCAATATAATGACATAATATTTATAATAACGGATTGAACCTTTGAAATGCAGTTCTACGAAGTTCATTTTAATTTATTTTTAAAATAGATGGGGAAATAAACCTTTACCTAATTAATTTTAATATGCTCATTATGGCTAGTAGAGAACGATGTACAGTGCAAGCCTGCATGCAGGTTCTTGTATTATCGTAATACCGTCGATGGCAAAAATAACAAGAAATATATTATTCTTTTAATTTTATAAATAATTTATATTATGTTAGAATTTTAGTAAAATTGGTTTTTAATTTTGTAGGAGCACTATAATATTTATCTAGATACATTTATCTAGATAAGCCTATTTTTATCTAAGCTAAACATTAGATAAATCATAAAATAATTATCTATATACTTTAAAAGATAATTTATTTCAAAAAATCTTATCTAGATAATTCCCAACACTGGTCACGGGCGCCCGTCCGCGCTCGTAATCCACACGAACCACGGTCGGTCGTTCGCCGTGGTTGTGACAGGTCACGGTCGTTCGACCTTCCTCGGCGTCGGCTCGCTCACGGGCGGACCGGCGCTCGGACGCACGCGTCCCGAGACGGGTGTCCGCGTTGTTCGTCGTCGCGGATCCCCCCGTCACGGGCAGCAGTTGTTGTAAAACCGAGATCCCTGGTTGATCCTGCCAGTAGTCATATGCTTGTCTCAAAGATTAAGCCATGCATGTCTCAGTGCAAGCCGCATTAAGGTGAAACCGCGAAAGGCTCATTAAATCAGTTGTGGTTCCTTAGATCGTACCCAAGTTACTTGGATAACTGTGGTAATTCTAGAGCTAATACATGCCAACAGAGTTCCTACCGTCACGGTACCCTCGGGCGTCGCGTGCGGGAGGAACGCTTTTATTAGATCAAAACCGGCCCGTCGCGGCTCGCTTCGTGCGCGTCCCGATCGCGGCCCTCGCAAAGACCTGGTGACTCTGAATAACTTTGAGCTGATCGCACGGTCTCCGTACCGGCGACGCATCTTTCAAATGTCTGCCTTATCAACTGTCGACGGTAGGTTCCATGCCTACCGTGGTTGTAACGGGTAACGGGGAATCAGGGTTCGATTCCGGAGAGGGAGCCTGAGAAACGGCTACCACATCCAAGGAAGGCAGCAGGCGCGCAAATTACCCACTCCCGGAACGGGGAGGTAGTGACGAAAAATAACGATACGGGACTCATTCGAGGCCCCGTAATCGGAATGAGGACACTTTAAAACCTTTAAGCGAGGATCAATTGGAGGGCAAGTCTGGTGCCAGCAGCCGCGGTAATTCCAGCTCCAATAGCGTATATTAAAGTTGTTGCGGTTAAAAAGCTCGTAGTCGGATCTGTGTCTGGGCGGTGCCGGACCACCCTGGCGGTCCGTTGTGCCGCGGCCGCCGTTTCGCGGGACCACGTGTCCCGTGGCGCGGTCGTCGTCGCGCTCGTCAGCCGTCTCGGGGTGTTAGTTACCGGCACGTCGGCCGGACGTATTGTCGGCAGGCGGACACGTGTCTCGTGCTTCCGGCGCGCCGCGCGGCCACGCGTCGCGCGTCCGTCAGGGTTCGACGACGGCGGCCACCTACTCCAATCTTGCTGCGCGATGCTCTTCACCGAGTGCCGTCGGTGGGCCGACACGTTTACTTTGAACAAATTAGAGTGCTCAAAGCAGGCTCAAATCTGGCGGGGCGGCTTCACGGCCGTCTCGTCAAAAGGCCCTGAATACTGGTCGCATGGAATAATGGAACAAGACCTCGGTCCCGCGCATCTTCGCCCTTCGAAGGCGCGCGAAATCGCCCTCCGGGGCGTTTCCGTGCGTGGGCTGGTTTTCGGGACCGGAGGTAATGATCAACAGAGACGGGTGGGGGCATTCGTACCGAGACGTTAGAGGTGAAATTCTTGGATCGTCTCGAGACGAACTGACGCGAAAGCATTTGCCAAGTACGTTCTCGTATGATCAAGAACGAAAGTTAGAGGTTCGAAGGCGATCAGATACCGCCCTAGTTCTAACTGTAAACGATGCCAGCTAGCGATCCGCCGAAGTTTCATTAACGACTCGGTGGGCAGCTTCCGGGAAACCGAAGCTTTTCGGTTCCGGGGGAAGTATGATTGCAAAGTTGAAACTTAAAGGAATTGACGGAAGGGCACCACCAGGAGTGGAGCCTGCGGCTTAATTTGACTCAACACGGGAAACCTCACCAGGCCCGGACACCGGAAAGATTGACAGATTGAGAGCTCTTTCTTGATACGGTGGGTGGTGGTGCATGGCCGTTCTTAGTTGGTGGAGCGATCTGTCTGGTTAATTCCGATAACGAACGAGACTCTGTCCTGCTAACTAGGCGGGTAAACCCGGGTCGGCGTGGGCGCGGTGCTGGTGGTTTTGGCCGTCCGTGTTCGCGTTCCCGTCGGCTCAGCCCGGTATCCCCGAATATCACCGGTCGTCTGCGGCGGTCAACGTGCACGGCCGTGCCATCCACGTCCCGGCGTTCGGCGAGCGTATGTCGGCCGTGGGCAGCCTCTGGTCTGGCTGCGTCCGTCTCGCGTCGGGCTCCGTGGTGAAGCGCGCGCTGCGTACGTGGCAGTCGCCGGCGGATCACGATACGTTACTAGGGCTACCGCCGGCTCCCAGGAGCTTAAACTCTTCTTAGAGGGACAGGTGGCGGACGAAAATAGCCACACGAGACTGAGCAATAACAGGTCTGTGATGCCCTTAGATGTTCTGGGCCGCACGCGCGCTACACTGAAGGAATCAACGTGTGTTAACATTCCTGGGCCGACAGACTTCCGGGTAACCCGCTGAACCTCCTTCGTGCTTAGGGATCGTGGCTTGCAATTTTTCCACGTGAACGAGGAATTCCCAGTAAGCGCGAGTCATCAGCTCGCGTTGATTACGTCCCTGCCCTTTGTACACACCGCCCGTCGCTACTACCGATTGAACGGTCGCAGTGAGGTCTTCGGAGTGGACGCACGTTATTAGGCCCCCTCGGGGGCTGGGTCGTCGAGTGATCGCGAAGATGACCGAACTCGGCCGTTTAGAGGAAGTAAAAGTCGTAACAAGGTTTCCGTAGGTGAACCTGCGGAAGGATCATTAGAGACGGGCCCGCGGTACCGGCATCACTTGCCGGTCTCGCATGCGCCTCATCCGACCCCGTGGCCGCGTGCGCTCGCGACCAGCTCGCCGACCGCCCGCGCGCCGCGACCCCCGACCGAGAGTCGACCGAAAGATGGTTAACTTCGAAACACCATACGCCCCGTCGTGCTTCCGCGCACGGCGCTCGGCAGTAGAAGTTTCGTCGAAAAATAAACACGTCACACAGAGCGGTGGATCACTTGGCTCGTGGATCGATGAAGACCGCAGCTATCTGCGCGTCGTCGTGTAATCCGCAGGTTATACGAACATCGACCAGTCGAACGCACATTGCGGCCTCGGTGACCCTCGGGTCCCAGGCCACGCCTGTCTGAGGGTCGTATACCGGATACTCAGCCAGACCTATGAGGCCGCCGGCAGGCGTCCGACAACGGTGGCGGCGGGCATTCCTCGCTTGGACCGTCCACCCACCCACCCGTCGGCCGCTCCGGTGGTGCGAGATTGGTGGTTCGACCGTGGAAAGCCGCTCGCGCGGCCACCTCCGGTCGTCCACCCAAGTTGTGACGGCCAACAGTCACGGGTTCTTGAGTCGTCAAACGGCACGTTCCCGTCCGTCCGCAGCGCGAGAGCGCTGCCGGGTTGGCTGAGAGTCCACGAGACCTCTCCGGCTTCCGAGAAGCGGACGCGGACGGTCACCGTAGAGGCGGAGGGGGGACCGCAGGCTGCCGTGTAATTTAAAAAACAAACAACCGATACGTTCCGACCTCAGATCAGGCGGGATTACCCGCCGGATTTAAGCATATTAATAAGCGGAGGAAAAGAAAACAACCGTGATTCCCTTAGTAGCGGCGAGCGAACAGGGAAAAGCCCATCGCCGAATCTCGCCACGCACTTTTGTGTCGCGGCACGTATGAGAGTTGTGGCGTACAGGTCGGCCCGTTGTCGGGGCGCACGTGACAGTCCAAGTCTCCCTTGAAAGGGGCCATGGCCCACAGATGGTGCCAGGCCAGTAGAGGCCATCACAGCGTTCCGAGACCGGACCGCGCCTTCGAGTCGGGTTGCTTGAGAGTGCAGCCCGAAGAGGGTGGTAAACTCCATCTAAGGCTAAATACGGCCACGAGACCGATAGCTTACAAGTACCGTGAGGGAAAGTTGAAAAGAACTTTGAAGAGAGAGTTCATAAGAACGTGAAACCGCTCTGTTGTAAACGGACAGAGCCCGCGAGTCCCCGTCGGGCGAATTCACTGTCGGTCTAACCGCCGGCCGGATCTTTCGCTCGGTTAGCGGACGTCGCGACTCGTTGAGCGCCGGCCTAATGGCCCGGGTGAAGTTCGTCGCGGCGGTCGCTTTTCGGCGTGACCGTTCGCGCCGAACCCCAGTGCTCATGGTCGGCTCGCTCGACGGCAAGAAACATCGACTCGGCCCCGTCGCAGACGGGGTCCCGTCGGTCGGCGACGAGTTTCGGGCTACTTTCCGACCCGTCTTGAAACACGGACCAAGGAGTCTAACGTGTGCGCGAGTCAACGGTGATCTTACGAAAAACCACGTTTGGCGCAA